TTTGTTTTCAGTTCATAACCCATGGTAATAACCATTAATACAAGTCAGGAATAATTTAGCTATTTTTAATAATTTCCATTTCACTGACCAGAATTCACAGCACAGAATAGCTAATATGGTCTGGAAAAGAAGCAGTAACAGTTTTCTGTTTATACTTACAGATCTGGCCTAAAATTTGCACACAATGCATCCTGGACACCAAAGCTTCTCAAAAGGACACTAGAAAGACCTGTATCCTCACTTTCACTGCTATATGGGAAGACAATAAAACAGAAGTTCTGTTAGTATCAGCTTTTGATCTTAAGCACACCAGCAACTGATCTATACCTAGTTTCTCAATTTCTACTATTCTGCACTTGGCAAAAGCCAAGACGAAGTCTGCCAGTTACTTAAAGAAAGTTCTGCATTAGAAGCAGTTTAGATTATTGTTACTACAGATGTTGTGGCAGAGAATGAGACTGTTTTTGCCCGGTAAGAAGTTATGTTTTAAACACATTATGAGAATTTAGACTTTATCCCCTGTCCTACTTATATCAATTTTCTGATCAAATTTTTGTTCATATATAATATAAAGATAAGCTTCAATACAATCATTGCCCAAGTTATTAGAAAGCTCAAACTTAGTGAGGTGTGAATTAATTTACTCTCACCTGAAAGCCTGAGATTATAAATGTAAAGTCTTTCTTGGCAGAAAGTAGATGACATATGTAGCATAGCCTTCAATCTAAGTGATTTTTTTTGTCCTATTAGCATAGGAATTTCCCAATATGGAAACTCCCTCTGCCAACGTAAGGACCATTCATCTGGAACTTATAGTCTTAGAAGGATTTGTGAGAGATTAATAGGTTATGTGGCCCCCCAGCTAGTATGTCAGAGACAGGACTAAGATGTAAGTCTTCCTGACTCCATGGACAAACCTATAGCCTCTTTGTCATGCTGCTTCTTATGAGTGATTTAAACAACTTTTAATAGTGGTGTTGTTATATCAATTGGGTACACCTCATACTCCATGAGGAACCACCCTCGTTTGGAAAGTCTACTGTGAATAGCTAGAAAAGTATACGAAATGAAAATGAAAAGTTTTACATACTAGGAAATAGATATTCAACAGCTATTTTCTAAACTCTAACTGTAATTAGCATCCTAAGTCTGAAAAAAATTATTAGTGAGAGAAATTCTTCCTGTATTACATAAAAATTCAAATAATTCTAAAGAATTTAAGATTTTCTGGTAACACTGCAAGCCTATTATAGATTCCTGGCAGATATGGCCAGTCATATACAAAGCTAATATATATATATTGAAATTTGAAGTAAAGATCTGTCTTGACAACTATGCAATATTACCTGTGAGGAAACAGTCTTAAACTTTACAGTAAACCAGGAGGCATTTTTACAAGTGAAGAGAAATATTTTCTCTTAAAACGTTGCTTATTCAAAAAGGAGGTAATGTTTATTTGTGGCATCTATCTTGGGGAATGTTCTGTAGCCGACTTCTGAAAGTCATGAATCCAAGAGGAAATTTCAAAGACGGTTAAAGTATCTTCAAAAGACAGTTAGATGGTGCAGTGGATAGAGCACCAGACTTGGATTCAGGAAGACCTGAGTTCAAATCTGATCTCAGACACTTGACACTTACTAGCTGTGTAACCCTGGGCAAGTCACTTCACCCCATTGGAAAGAAAGAAAGAAAGAAAGAAAGAAAGAAGAAAGAAAGAAAGAAAGAAGAAAGAAAGAAAGAAAGAAAGAAAGAAGAAAGAAAGAAAGAAGAAAGAAGAAAGAAAGAAGAAAGAAAGAAAGAAAGAAAGAAAGAAAGAAAGAAAGAAAGAAAGAAAGAAAGAAAAGGAAAGGAAGGAAGGAAGGAAGGAAAGGAAGGAAAGGAAGGAAGAAGGAAGGAGAAGAGGAAGGAAGGAAGGAAGGAAGGAAGGAAGGAAGGAAGGAAGGAAGGAAGGAAGAGAAGGAAGAAAGAAAGAAAGAAAGAAAGAAAGAAAGAAAAGAAGAAAGAAGAAAGAAAGAAAGAAAGAAAGAAAGAAAGAAAGAAAGAAAGAAAGAAAGAAAAAGAAAGAAAGAAAGAAAGAAAGAATTAGTAGAACTGGATTGTGCAACTATCAATAGGGGAATTACTATAAAGAGAATAATAATAAAAGATTTTATATATATATATGCATATATCACTTTGTACTTTAAATACATTATCTCAATTAATGCTCCCAGAAAATCCGGAGTGTTCATAGTACAACTATTAACTATTATTGGACAACCTAGATTACAAATGAGAAAGCTGAGGCAGAGAGGTGAAATACCTTGTGTAAGAATTCAAAACTAGCAAGTGACAAAGCTGAGACTCAAATAGACATCGTCTGATTCTGAGTACAGAGCGCTTTGTACTGCAACAGGTTATATCTCCAGTGTAAGATACTGGAAAGAGAGATGAGACAGACACACAGATACAGAAAGGAAGAAAGGTAGATTGACAGATGGTAGATAGACAGATAGATAGATAGATAGATAGATAGATAGATTGATAGATAGATAGATAGACACAGATAGACAGATAGATATAGATGATAGATATCTTCAACTTAAAACTATGAATTTTTCCACTTGAATATGTTTTGAAATGTAGATTTCTATGAAGCTATCAGAAACAGGAGGAATAACCCTTAAAAAAGCAGATTTATAAGTGCACTAAGGACCCAACAAAGGTTATGTATGAGGTACTAGTGAGAAAATTTCTCCAATTCAGTGCAGATTTTACTTTCCTGCAGAGGAAGGAGGTACAACAAATTAGAAAGGCTGTATACTAAGAAATTCTGGTTGGAAAAGGACCATCATGAGACCCACAGGCTGATCCAAAACTTTCCTAGTTGAAACCAAACTTTAATATGAACACTCTCCTAAAAAGATCAAGAGAAGGGAGTAAGTATTTATACAGTGCCTACTGTGTGCAAGATACTGTGCTGAGCACTTTACAAATACTAAATCATTTGATCTTCGTAACACAACCCTGCAAGACAAATGCTGTGCTTATTCTTATTTTACAGTTGAGGAAACTGAGGCAAATAAAGGTTAAGTGATTTGCCCAGGACCACAGATTTAGTCAGTTTCTGAAGCCAAATTTGAACTCAGGTCTTCCTGAGTACAGACTCAATGTTCTAACCACTGCACCTCGTAGATCCCCTGAAAAGGGGAAGTAAAATGTTAGTTTAAATAGGAGAAGCACTAAGAAGACAACACCACCTTCTCTGTGTTTAGAAAATAATAATAATCTAACCTGTGAGATGGAGACCAAGCTTTGGAGCAAACCTAAGCTTTTTCAAACAGTACTTAGAAACACTGGGACCAAAGATGGAGAACTAGTGATATAATAAGGAAAGTTCCTAACTCTGATAGGAGCAGAATTATATAAAAAATTACTATTAAAAGTTCATGTTTCATAAGGTATGTAGTCAAATGTACTGGTATGCTTTAACTTTGTTTATTCTGTCTCTAAAATATGTACTTCCTTTATAATCTTATATAAGTTATCTGCCAAGATTATTTAACAATTATTAAAATATTTTAACAAATAAAATTATACTTGGTTGAATATTTAATATTTATGAAAGTATTTCATAATTACTTTTAATATCTCAAGTAACCATGATTCCATGCATATAGCCTACATTGATGAAGATTCCACCCACTCTATACACTCTACAATACTATAGTGTTCGAGTGTTTCTAGACAGTTATGTGGTGTATTGGATAGAGTGGTAGACTTGGACTCAGGAAGACCAGAGTTCAAATCCTGCCTCAGACACTTATTATCTATATGACTCTGGGCAGATCACTTAATTTCTTGGCCTCAGTTTTCTCAACTGTAAAATGGGGAAAACAGTAACATCTACCTCACAGGATTGTGAGGACCAAATGATATAACATAAAAAGGGCTTTGTAAGTCTTAGAGTAATATATAAATGTTAATTTGCTATTTCTAATCTAATTCAACACATACTAGTGATCTCTCTGGTGCTAAGCCTTTCACAACTTAGGTAGACTGTTCATTAGATTACAGAAATACAATCTGAACTCTGCTAAAGTTCCATTTTCTTTAGACTTTCCCAAAAATATGTACCTCAGGTATAGTTTTTGAGAACTCTGAGTTATCTCCACACAATGGTGAATCATAAGAGTAGGATATTACTGGTGAATCTAATAGCTATAATAATAAAGAGTATTTCATGGAAGAGAAGAAATAACTAGATTATGTCCTATGTATGTATTCAGAATCCACACCTAGGGAAAAATTGGTCAATTTATGGATGAACTTAAGCAGTTACTTAGCAGCTGCTACCCAAATTGAAAGTATGGCCTGTGGGAGGAAATAAACATCTCCTAGAAAAGGAGTTATTGACCTTTTTCTGTTTAGATGTCTAACGAAGCTTATGGACTCCTTCTCTGAATAATATTGGTAAATACATAAAAGAAAACACATGAGTTGGTAAAGAATCCAATTACAGTAAATAGTTATCAAAACATTAAATAGAATAAAAATATAAACATAATATAATCAAAATAGCTATCAAAATATTTTTTAAAAAACTGTGAGATCATGGACCTCAGCATATAAACGCCTGCAGAGGGTAAGACTTTCAAATTCAATGATACAAAATCATAGTACACATTACATAAATATTTAAAACGTTTTCAAAAGGATAAAACTATTAAAACCTATAATTGTCAGGCATTAAGACTAATATGATTCTCACCTAAAAAAATATGCTTCTTCACTGTCATAATGCCCTGGTGTCAATTTGAGTGAAGGGTAATCAGTAACTAATGGCTTCACCATGAACAAGCCCATTGCTAAAGCCACAAAGAGAACAGGCAGCACCAGGTCTGACAACGTGCCTTTCCAGCCCCTCCTGGTGTGGTGAAACCTCTTCATGAGTAGAGCAGCCATCTGGGTGAGAAGCAGCGTGCTTCCTTGAATGGACTTTATCTCCCTAGGACAGTTGTCTGCAAGAAGAAAAGTGCAAGAAAAATTCAGGATGTAACTACAAATGGAAGCAAAACTCCTGTCTAATGCTTTGTTTATTCCTCTGGTTTAGTCACAACTCCACTGTTGAAGGTCAGATCAGAGCATGGATGAACAGAACAGTAAAAATACGCAGGAGTATTTCAAAAAAGGGATAAACACTTCATTTGAAAAGAAAACAAGTAGTCTCTCAGGGGTATCTGCTCACTGACAGCATGATACCTAAGTCTTGGACTCATCCATAGATTAAACTTTCCAGCGGTGGGGAACCTGCAGCCTTGAGGCCACGTGTGGCCGTCTAGGTTTTCAAGTGCAGCCTTCGACTGAATCCAAACTTCACGGAACAAATCTAAACAAGAACAAAAAACTCAAAAGTCTTTTTTTCTCTGAAGTTTGGATTCAGTCAAAGGGCTTCACTTGAGGACATAGAGGGCCATACGTGGCCTCGAGGCTGCGGGTTCCCTGCCCCTGGCAAGTATGAAGTTAAAATAACTGAGCGAAGGAGGAAAGGAGGGTATTTACTATAGAAAGTATTTGTCTCAGATTCCAGACTATTTAACCCTAAGAACTGTTTGTCCAAACTTAATTACTAAAGGGAAGACAGAACCAAGGGAGATACAGAATCAACTTGAGGTAAAACAAATGCTGATAGGGAGATAGTATCTTTCATTTTATTACTATGGGAACTCCTAGATAAGGTAACTACCTCTACCAATATATTCTGGCAGCTTCTTTTCCACTTATAACCTTACAAAGTTGACTAGAGCAGAGGTTTCCTGCCACTCCCAAGTGTGGCAGGAAACAGATGAAAATGCACTTGGGAAATATTTAACAAAATATACAAAAAGTACAATAGAATAGATAATTAATATGGGGTTTTCTAAGTTAACATGTAGTGAACAGGGATCCTTATGTAAGGTATAGTAGACCCCGGTTTAACAAAATACATAAAAAATACAACAGAACATAGATAATGTTAATATGGGGTTTTCTAAGTTAACATGTAGTGAATAGGGATCCTTATACAAGGTGTAGTGGACTCCTTTTCTACTGAGTTTAACGTTCCTGGCCTGGAGCATTAAAAGGTTAAGTGCCTTGCACATGATCACAAAGCCAGCATGTGTCAGAGGTAGGCTTGAACTCATGTCTTCCTGATTCCAAGCACAGCTCTTTATCTACTCTTTCATGCTTTTTATGCCTCTCTTTGATCCCGATGTATACGCATTGATCTCAATACTTTAAATTATATTTGCAAGGCAAGTGTTCTTGCTGTTCAACCCACAGATGAGTTTTTGAGCTGGCAGAGAGGGTAAAGAGGTCATAGGATTCAGACATAAAAGGGACATTGGAAATCATATTGGGCAGTGTTTTCATTTTACAAATGAAGACACTTAGAACCTGACAGGGAAAGAGACTAGTCCTAGGGCATGTAGATCCTAGCTATTGTAGTAAATAGTAGAACTAAGATTTGAACTCTGACTCAAAATCAAAAGCTCTTTCCACTATGTCACTGGTTCTGTTCTTTGATTATTCTGATTTCCTTCCCCTGACACAGGTCCCAGAATGATGAGTCTCTCACACACTCTCCGTATCGGCACATTATTTTACTCTTTCCTTTCTTCCCTCCACTTTTACCTCTTTTCTCTTCTTCCTCCATGCTCCCCTGATCTCCTATAATACCCTATACTCTGAAACAGGACTCTGTAGCCATTAAAGCATCTTAGGTCTCAGGTAAAACTCCTTTCAATGGGCCATCACACAGGTTTAAGATCACTGAGATTCTCTACCAGAAGAAAAGATGACAGTATTATAACTGTCATACTGAAGTGTACTAATCAAGCGCACTCCTAGGAAAAATAACTGAAGACGCTAATATCCCTTAATTGTGACACATTCAAAGAGTGCAAACTTTCAAGGCAAAGAATGAGCTGGCGTTTTTAACAGAGAAAGCAGGAATTTCCCACTGCTGTGGCTGTGACTTCTATTTCTACACACACACACACACAAACGTCATCATCATCATCATCATCATCATCATCATCATCATCATCATAGGAACCCTCAACCTTTGTTAGGCTCTAGCTGTTTCCTTTTCTTTAAGTCTTCATTCCTTTGCCACAGAGAAATGCTGAAAGCTGAACCGTTCTACTTAATGCTAAGTAAAGAAAGAAAAATGTACAACATTGACCTATTAATAGAATTACCACACTATTGCTGGAGTGGCCAAACAGAGAACACTAAAGAACTCTACAAAAGAAAATAAGCCACCCTAAATCTTCACTGCATTAACTATAAGAGACACAAATAAATCCTTTGGAAGTAAATTTTGTGCAACGTCAGCAAAATGAAGGTGAGCCACTGTAAATGAGTACTGGCATAAATTATACCTGAAACTCAGAACAAAGCATGATCTACCATCTGTAGCAATACATTTCCCCAATGGTACTTTCTAGAATATTTCAGAAAATCCAATAAAAACTATGTTAAAAGAAAAGGAAAATTGACCCAACAGAAAAATAGATGTGCTAAATTGATTGTACAGCTCATACGTACTAAACTGAAAATACATTTCATTTAAAAAAGCAGTGCCCATCTTGGATGAACCAAGTTTTTCTTAAAGACCTTTTAAAAGAAACAATTTCATCTCTTTAATAGAGATATTATCTATAAAAGCATAGCCAGAAAGAAGCCTCCATGGCAGGCTCTAAGGACATATTTTTGAACAAAAATGAATCCTTGAGAGAATGAAAAGCTGAGTTTCAAAATGGAGTCAATCACTAATGTGGTTGAAATGTGATATTTAAAAGTTTTACAAGAGCAGTTTACATTTCACATGAGATGTGATCCACTGTCTATTCCAATACATATAAAAATTTCTTCTTGTGGCAGAAGAGTTAGTCCTGAATTCAAGTCATTCTGGCACTACTCTGAAATAATAATAGATAACTTGTGAATTCAAGAGTATTTATAATAAACTAATAGGGAAATATCTTTTACATGACTGTACAAGTATAACCTATATTAAATTGCTTACCTTCTCAATGAGAGGGAAGACAGGGAAGGAAGGAAGAAAGATAATTTGGAACTCAAATTTTTTTTCTAAATGTTAAAATTTGTTTAACATACAATAGGGAAAAGAAAACATTAAATAAGTAAAATAGAGAAATAAAAAGAATATTTGTCATGAGAATGATAATACCAAAGATTGTGTTGGGGGAGAAAAATGCTGGCAATAACAGATAAAGGAATTACTTGTATTTTATTCATTGAAATAAATTATTTTAAGTTAAGATCACCATTGATATTCAATATTAAATTTTCAATAAAACACTGAACTTTTTAAAGGATTAAGGAACATAAAGAATACCAGTTTACTAGAAATTCACTAAGTAGCCATATCTGAAAACACAAAGTGAAACAGAAGGTAATTTAATCTAATTCAAACAAAAAGAAATCACTTGAAATTCCCACCTCCTTCATTTGAATTACTTAGATAATTATCTGAATTGTCCATTTTATTCTGGCTATGGAAAATCATCTCTATCATAGCATGCTACCCATGACATGATCCTACAGATATAGATACACGTATATACAGATAGATAGATAGATAGATAGATAGATAGATAGATAGATAGATAGATAAATAGATAGTTAGATAGATTTACTACTTATTCATTTGATCATAAATGTAGAGCTGGAAGGCACCTTATAGTCCATTTAGTCCAATTTTTACAGATGAGGACACTGAGGCACAGGATTGATAAGCAGCTTGCCCAAGGTAATAGCAAGAATCAAAAGCAGGACTTTAACCTGGGACCTGACTCCAGAGTCACTGTTCTTTTAGCTGTACCATACTGGCTTCAGCAAGAAAAACAGTAATTAAACTTCATTCTATCTCTTCCTCCTAGCAATTTGACAGTTGCGGTTAAAATTTTCCTTCTAGCTCCAGATTCTCAAAAACGTCCATCTCACAGCCCCAGGAATAACAGTCAGGAAGGCAGGGACAGAGCCTCTTGGCCCAAGAGATGTCAACCATGGAGAGGAAAAAAGAAAGTCCAAGTGGTAGAGATTCCTGGACACCTGTAGACATTTTAAACCCAACATGGCCCAAAACTGAACTCATTATCTTTCCTCCCAAACCCTCTCCTCTTCCTAATTTCCCTATTACCATTCAGAGTACCACAATCTACTCAAACCTAGGTTTCGTCCTCTCTAATTTATTGTATCAATCTATTGTAAAGCCTGTAGATTCTTTCAACATCTCTCAAACACACCTCAAACCTAGGTTTCATTCTCTCTAATTTACTGTATCAATCTGTTGTAAAGCCTGTAGATTCTTTCAACATCTCTCGTACACACCTTTTTTTTTTTCTTTTGACTATGCTACAGCGCTGGTGCAGGCTCTCATCACCTCTTGCCTGAACTATTGCAGTAGCCTTCTGATCAGTCTCTCTGCCTCATATCTTTCCCCAATTCGGCTGTCAAATTGATCTTCCTAAGGTGCAAGTCTGACCATATCACCCCATTATTCAATAAATCCCAATGACTCCCTATTACCTCCAAGATCAAACATAAAATACTGTTTGCACTTAAAGCCCTTTACAACCTTTCTAGAAAGCCCTTTCTATCTTTCCAGTCTTCTTTCAATTTATTCTCCTTTACGTAGCATGCAATCCAGTGACATTGGCCCCTTTGCTGTTTCTCACGCTGGACACTCCATCTTGCAACTGTGTACATTTTCATTGGTTATTCCCCCATACCTAAAATGCTCTATTTCCATGTCTCTATCTTCCAAATCCCCTGGCTTCCTTCAAGTCTCAGATAAAATCCCCCCTTCAGTAAGAACTTTTCCCAGTTCTCCTTAATGCTATTGCCTTCCCTCTGAGATTACTGCCATTTACTCTATTTGTATCTTGATTGTACATAGATGTTTGCATGTTGTCTTTCTTATTATAATGTGAGCTCCTTGAGATCAGAG